CTTCGAGCCCTTGTCTTATTTCTTTTCAAGCGAGCCTTTAAGCCCTCGACCATCAAAGGTGGTGCATTTTCTATCCTACCTCCATTCGAGCGCGCCTTTGAGCCCTCGACCATCAAAGGTAGTGCATTTCCTATCCTACCTCCATTCCAGCACGCTTTCGAGCCCTCATCTTATCTCTATTCGAGCACGTCTTCGAGCCCTCGACCATCATAGATAGTGCATCCTACCTTCATTCGAGCGCGCCTTCGAGCCCTCGACCATCATAGATAGTGCATCCTACCTTCATTCGAGCGCGCCTTCGAGCCCTCGTCTTATCTCCATTCAAGCGTGACTTCGAGCCCTCGTCTTATTTATTTTCGAGCGCGCTTTCAAGTCCTCAACCATCAAAGGTAGTGCATTTCCTATCCTACCTTCTTTTGAGTGCGCATTCGAGCCCTCATTTCCATCGAGCTTCCATCTATTGAATAGTGTGCCTTCAAGCCCCATCATGTCTTATTAAAAAAAAATCTTCATATTCTTCCACTGGGTAAGTAACTCATTACAATGTGATCATCTGGGTAGGTAGGTAACCCATCACAATATACCATCCTATCTGGGCCGGTAACCCATTACAATATACCACCTTATACTTGGTAGGTAACCCATTACAATTTACCATCACAAAAAAAAATCCTTGTATTTTTATTCTTCATCGAGCAGGTCACCTGGAACAATTAAACCACTCATGAAATTCTTCGCGTTTCTTTTATCATTGGATAGGTTGCCCAAAACAATTTGATCCATTTCAAAAAAAAAAAAACAAAAAAAAATGGGTCGTCTTCCAAATGTCTTGTTCTCTCTATAAAAGTCATATGTCAATCTACTGTTTTCGAAGTTTTCAAGACTCTAAAAAAAAAAAAATCTTTTTGTATCTAATTTTCTTTATAAATTTACTACACAAAGCTAAAAGAAAATAAAATTTCCTAATATCGTTGCATAGTAAATATTATAAAGAGGGGCAACTGTCATAACCCAATTTTGATCTTATTTTTTATTATTTTAATTATTTTATTTTTTAAAAAATAATAAAAAACAAGTAAAAATAAAATAAATGAAGAGTGAATTAAAATTTGGGTTAAGGGCAACATGATTGGAAGTTTAAGGATTTAGTTAAACTCTTGACTAGTTTAATAAATCAAAGGCTTAATTAAAAAATTAATAAGTTTGCAGCCTTAATTAAACTTTGATTTAATAAATTAAATAATTCAAGGATTTAATTGAAATTAATCCAAGGGGCAAAATTAAAATTTATCAATTAAGGGACCCAATTGATACATTTCAAAACATCAGGGACCGATCTATCATTTGTCATTTTCCATGCCAAATGACGCCGTTTTAGGATCCTTCTGTTCATCACCTGCTTGTTGAAGAACGGTTCAACAGGGAAGCTGGAAACTCGGCAACAAAGTTGACCCAATCTTGACTATGTCTTCTGCCACGATCCCGGTCTTGGAGGAGAAGGTTTTTGAAGCTTTCTGGCCTTATAAAAGGCAAGGAAAAAACCTAGAACTGGAGGAGGAAGAGAGCAATTCACAGCACTCGACAGCAAGAAAAAACCGAAGAAAAAACAGAGCAGTATCCAAGGAAAAACAGAGCAAACAAAACAGAACCCAAAAAAGAAAATACAGAGAAGAACCGAAAATCAACCCAAATTTCATCCCAGCAAGAAGAAACTAGTTTTCGTCAAAAAAAAATATACACAGAAAAGGAGAGAAAGGCAGAGGACCACAGATCAACCTTGTTTTGGTCCCTGAAGAAACCAATTGATAACCGAACCATTGGTTATTGAAAGAAGAAAATCGAACCAACACTCTCAGCATCGCCGGAAACAGAAATCAGTAGAATCAAAGCCACACCAGCGTTACAGCCTTCCTCAGCATCGCCAGAAACAGAACGCAACGGAGCCCAAGCAGCCGCACCAGCGTTGCAGACTTCTTCAATCGTCAGAAACAGAGAAACAGGTGCGCCGGTTTCTGTCATGGGTGTTTTAATAACAGTTGAACAGTGCGAAGGTAACTTAATTACCTTCGCACTGTTGATGCACGCGTGAATTTTTTTCACGTGTGCACCTGTTTGTTTAGCCGGGCAACTGATTTAAATTTATTTTGTTTTTATAGTTACGTGATATTTACCCATGCCAGAGTTGAAAATATCTGTAGTTAAATATTCACTGATGCCAGAGTCAGGAATATTACACGCAAAACCACCGTAGCATAAACCAACAAAACATTAGCAATTATTGACAAAGTCAGCAATGCAACCTGCCTTAGGCAGGACGCTAAAGGGGTGATAATATCTTCCCTTTTGCATAACCAATCTTGAACCATATAATTTTTATTGACCAGTTAGGGTTCTTAGTAACCATAATATTAGGTGGCGACTCCTTAAACAAATAATATCCCCATTAAAAAACAGGATACCAGAAATATGTTCTTTCCAAAGATTTTAAAAGATTTTTAAGGCCGCTACGATGTCGAATGCGACAACAGTATACTGATAGTTTCAAAAAAAATGCAAAAAAAAAGAGAAAAAAGAAAAACAATAATCTAACTGAGATAAGCATAAAAGAGTGAGCCTTTCATAAAAGTTTTGAATGAAACCTTGCTATTTATCTTGAACACAGAACTGGTTGCTTTAAAATGTGGTTGCTATCTTCTTCGGATTTGAACTCTTTGAAGGAAAATCTGTCACCTGAAACTCTTCAAAATTGCTTTCCTGTACAATAATCAAATTTAATATGACACGAAAACCATTGTCACAGACCACTTGCATAATGATCAAAAGTTCATCAGTCTCACCGACGCAAACATGCACGCACATATGGTGGTTTCTATGTCTCTATGATCGTCAAATCAAGTGAAGGCAAAAGTGGAAGCACATCCATTGTTGGGCATATAGATTGTTTTTTCAACAAATCCACAGAAAATTCAACATATATGAGGTCCTGAACAACAAATTATTGTTAATCAATTTTTAGCAAACCTTAAAAGATATCAGGGCTCACCAAATCTAAAACCTTAGCAGTAAGAATGGTTCCTTGAATTGATTCCTGTCATCTAACTGTTACGTAAAGGAGGGAGAGGATTCCTATTCCTACAGCTTTAAAATTCTATAAGCAGGCAATTTGATTCTCAAAATAGAATTAGTTTTTCCTCTTGTTTCAAAAGCGGTATTGTATAGAACCTCACAAATTAATTCAGAAAAATTTTTCAGCAATGATCCCAGGACCAAAATACTAGCAATCAACAATAGAGCAAACCATCAAAGGCCCAGTTCCTTGAAGGAATAAATGACATTTTGAAGAAACTGATTCAGCATGTTTTTTGCAAACTTGAAGAGCCATTACCTTCCATGGCTATTATCAGTTAGAAATCAAAAAATTCTGACATCTTTATCCATAAAAGGTGCCATTTTTCTTGCAGAATGCTTACATTGGGAAACAATTTTATATTCCTTAAATAAAGTGTTGTATAAGAATAAACATAATTATAGAAGAAGAATAAGAATTAGTCTTTACATACTGATAAATTCTGCACAATTCGCTCAACAGGAAATTATTGAGTGAAATAAACGAGGAATGTAACTAAACATCAATAGAGCAGAATAGACCATCAAAAACAGGAAGCCTTGTCCCACTCGTGGCCTAGTTCATCTCATCTCCATTTTCGCACAAGGCAGTGGTTTCAAACCCCATCTCCGATGAAACCCCGCCGTACTTTCTGAATCCACAAGAACCTCAACAGCCCTAGATATGATCTGGTAGGCTAGTTTGGCTGCAGCCGAATAATCGTTATCATCATCAGAACAGATCAATTTCCCCATTCGACAAAATCTACTCAATATCTTCTCCTCGGATTCCCAATAATAATCAACCCCAAGCACATCATACCAATTGATCTCCCCGTATCTATTTTTCAGTAGCGGAGCAGCGTGTACTCGGTACGCAGCGACGCATCTATGAACACAGCCATTCCCAAAAGATGGTTCCACTAACGAAGCAATCTTGGCCACATCACAGGCCTCTTTGAACTTATTTTGCGAGAACCCAGACTCGGCAGAATCCAGCAATATTTCTACTACATTACGCGAATCTCCAAGAAGTGCCATTAACGCGCTGGAAATAAGCTCGTAGGCTCCTTGCGCAGCCGAGGAGGGATTGTAATCAGGATGTACTAGTTTCAAGTTTTCGCAAAAACTAAGAATGATCTCTTTGCGTGATGCCCTGCGATCTTTGATCCCAAGAACGCAGTGCCAATCAGTATCGCCAGTGAGACTGTTCTTGCAAAGCGAGGACGTGTAGACTCGATAAACTGCAAGATGCTTTTCAATACAGCCATCGCCAAAAAAGGGGTCGAGGGTTTTAGCGACCATGGCAGTGTCGTAAGCCGCTCCGAACCTCTTGCCGAGGAACTGTTCCTCGGTGAAACCAAGCATAACATCAGTCATTTTCACAGCGGGATCAGAATTAGGGTTCCAAAATTGAGAGTAAGGGAATGAATGTGATGAAAGTGGTGGTTAGGGTTTCTGGATTTTGATGAAATTTGTCAGGAAGACAGAGAAGTCGTAGAAAGAACGCTGCAAATTTCGATTTCGAAAAATATCGAATACATACTAACGGCTAGGGTGGTCATATTAAAATCTCGCCTCGCGCGCCTTCCGTCTCCTCAGGTTTTATTTTTTTGTTAATTATTTTCCAAATTGAAATATTTTTTTTAAACTACTTATTTTACTTTTATTTGTTAAAAAAAATTTAATATTTTTTTCCCATGTAGATAACACATTTTATTTTCATTAAAATAAAGGTAAGACTAATCAAACTGTTTAATAGCTAGTTTTTAAAGTTTTACTTGAGATAATTGGAGCCAAGCATAACTTCTATTAGGTAAAGTCAACAATTAAAGGGATTGAGGATGCAACACACTTAATCTATTCTCGAACTTTAAATAAATAGAATATTTTTAAACTTTAAATAAATAGAACAATAGGGCTACTTCATCGGCCTGTGTCACGAAATTAAAAGCACTAAGTTGGTTATTTTTTATAAATCTTCAAGATTTAAGTATTTTTCTAAATATGGTTAAATATATTACTATTTTTTTCATTTTAACTAGTGGAGGGATCTTCCCGAGCAAATTACTCTCAATTCTCAAACAAGATTATCAAAAGTGAAATTCTTATCGATTCTTCCTTTTTGGCAATACTGCCCCGTTTACATTGATGTTAAAAAATAAAAAATATATAATTTAATAGATTTTTAAACAAGAAACAACCACTAGAGATATTTTCTTTAAATTTTATTTTATTCAAAATATTTAATATTGTGATGCTTAAAAATATTATGTATTAAAATAATTTTTTTATATTTTTATTTTTAATATCAAAACCATTAAAAAAACCCAAACACTAAAAATATATTAATTTAATATTTTTTCCGGTTTCAAACACAAACAGATAGCAATACTCAAATCCACCACGAGGCCACATCCTGACCGAACTGAACAGCAGCATTCCACAGCCAAGCGAAGAGGCAGTAGTCACAAATCACAACTGGAAATCATAATATAAAGCTCCCCTCGATGGAAATATCACAAATGTTATACTGAGTTTTCAGGCACAAAAGTATTTATATATCAGAATCCATACAAGCAAAATTGCACCTATAGCATGCAAAAATGTGGGGGCAATTTAGGAAAAAAAAAAGAATTATAACTCTACTACTAGGGGGCAAAAAATATAATAGAAGGATTTCAAGGATTCTGGGGCAAGCCGTAAGAAACCCAGTATTGAGGAACTGTAGTCTTATGTACACAAACACGCTCTCCTCTTCTAATGATTCTAAAGTGTAGAATTTGAAGTGGGTTTTCCAGAATCTCACCCTCCAGTAATGCAGTGGAAGTATGAATTGTCAATTGGGATCAGTCTGCCCCCATTTAATATCTGTAACCTGAAGAACCAGACTGTGGAGGAGCAGGTGGAAACCGATTGGGAGTGCGATTAGGAGTGCGACGGCTGCTGGAGTTGGAACCGGAGCTCTTGGAACTGGTGCTCACATCACCATTGCCGTAATATCGACTGTGACCATTTGATGCAGGTCTTGACATCCTTCCAATGTCTAAAGGACCGTTGGCAGCTGCATCAAATGCAGATCTCCAGTCGTCACCAGATGAACCATTTGTCCTTGGGCTTGGGGTGCTCTCTGCAATTAGGGTAATCCAAGAATTTCAAGGGCATTAATAACAATGACAAATTGATACCCATTATGTGCGCGTGTGAAAATTTCCTAGTCGTCATGCATGTTCCCTTCTTCCAAAGTTTTAAATTGCAATTGTCACAGTTGCAGATCACAGACTTCATGGATGTTGAAAAACAGTCACAGCTCTCATTGTGAATTCATTAGTCTTCGCAAACTTCTGTAATACACGTTTTTCTCATAGGTCTGCTAAAATATAGTCAATATTAACACTTTCAGCAGGTAAAAACATGTAACATGTTATAGCTATCAAAAAGTCAAAAACAAATTTATAAAAAAAAAAACATTAACTTGAAATATAAAAACTATCAAGATCAATTTTGTAAGCATACCGTTGCGGGCTGTTATTGACCCGTTAGATTTCACTACAACAGTCAATAACAACCACCATCATCACATAACAACTTTATAACCATTATTGTTCAGAATCGCCAATAACGATAC